CTGGGGAGTCAGTGGGCCCAGGGCTCTGTGAGTATTCTGTGATACTCACGGAGCTGGGTCCTCAGCGTTGAAGGGAATGGTCAGCGAGAAGCAGGCCTCGTCGTGGTAAGCAACCAGGAGACCCCGCCGGTCCCCATAGTCATAGATCCAGTAATATCTGTGGGGAAGCAAAAGGGACAGGCTCTCTGTGGTCTGGGCCCCTAAGTGGACTTGAAAAAGGCCCCGATGAGCAGGCCTGTGCCTGGGTGAGCTGGCCCATCCCATCCCTCCCTGCCTCAGGGTAGCAGGGGAACTTACTGCTGCAAGAACTGCAAGATTAGATTCTTCAGAGTCTCAGATCCTCTATAGCTTTCCTGGAATTAAAAGACATCTTGGGACTATGAGGCTGACAAAGCCTCCCTTGCAACACACCAAATCTTGCTTGGTATTTCCAACTCACCTTGCTGGGTGTCATTATGTCGGCGACTTTAATTTCAACAGTAAGTGATGGGAATAACTGCTGGCCATCCTGGGGAATGAAAGAAGTCAGCAGTGTAGACCAGGGATGTCACACTGGATGAGCAATGAGATGAAGTGGTCCAGAGGAGAGTGAGAGTCAGAGTTCAGGTATGAAATGGACCTGAAAATTCTATGAGTCAGACTAAAGTCAGTGTCTTAACCATGGGGCCTAGAAGCCTCTAATATTATATGCAGTGTGTGTGTGAGTCCGCGTGCCTGTGTACATGTGGGTGTGTACGTGTGTTATAGACATTTTTTAAGGGAGAATAGCCATGCTTTCTTCAGGAGTCCATGTCCTCCAAATAGGTAACAGTCCAGTGTAAAAATGTAAGCTAGGCAAAACACAAGGGACTTGAGGACAGATGTGCAGGTCATCAACGTTAGTGAGAGGAGACAATCGTGAAGGTAAGCACTTACCAGGCATAACAACTTGGGGAAACAATTCCGGATGGCACTGCCCAAAACCAAAAATAGAAAGAAGTGATTAACACTTCAGCGACAGGCTGCCTGCTTTGCGCTAACACACTGATACCATGAACAGAGCCCAGAGTGTCCTGCCCGTCCAGCAGCCCCCAGAGCTCCCACCCTCAGCCTAAGTTCAGGGGTCTTGAGTCCACATTTCCTGCAGAGCCCTGGGCATCCCCCATATGGACTGTCTTAAAGGCATAGTCTCTCCACCTCTCTCCCCATGCCCCTCTCCCCATCTCCTTCCTCCTAGGAAGCTCCCACAAGATGGCCCTGACCCCCTTCTCCAGTGACACAGAAACAGCATGTGGAGTCCAGGTTCCAGGGATCCCTTCCCCTCCCTGCCTCA